TTTTTTTATGGTGACATTGGTTGACAAAATCCAATAAGTTTCAACTGTACACTTTAAGGCATATATATATTTACACTGTATTCACCTCCCATAGTTAGATTTCCTTCTGTCACCACATATTTGACCCTCTTTACCCCGTCTACCACCCCCTCCTCCCACCCCCCTACTTTCTAGTAACCGCTAGTCCATTGTCCATGTCCCTGAGTCTCTGTCCTGTTCGTTTATTGCTTTTAGGTTTATATCCCACATATAAGTGATATCATGTGATTTTCAACTTTTTCTGCTAGCTTATTTCGCTTAGCATGATTATCTCAAGGTCCATCCATGTTGCCGCAAATGACAATATTTCATCTCTTATGGCTGAGTAATATTCCATTGTATATATGTACCACAGCTTCTTTAGCCAATCGTCTGTTGTAGGACACTTCGGTTGCTTCCATGTTCTAGCCACTGTGAATAATGCTACTATGAACATCGGTGCGCAGATATCTTTTTGGATGTGAGTTTTAAGTCTTTGGGGTAAATACCTAGTAGAGGGATTGCTGGATCATATGGTAGATTAAATCTTAGTTAAGGAACCTCCATACTGTTTTCCATAGTGGCTGTACCAGTTTGCAGTCCCACCAGCAGTGTATGAGAATTCCTTTTTCTCCGCATCCTCTCCAATTATGTTACATCTTATTGTGATTATTTTCTTCCTTAATTTTCTACTATTAGCCTGTTAGCCTAATAGGCTTGAGCTAAGACACTGTATCTTAGCTCATTTCATGACTAATGTAGTTGATATCACATAGCACTCAGTAATGTTAGTTCTCTTCCTTACAGAATACATTAATACCAATTTTGATTTGGCTATTCAAAACAACTCATTGGTCAGATAGCCAGAAATTGGATCTTTTCGATGGAATCCTCCCAGGCTCAAAGAAGTCAAATCTGTTTATAGACCATCTATGTCACAGTTACACTGAAGGATCAGAAGTAATGAGAAATGAAATAATACTTGCCAGATAATATAAAGTTTTATATGTGAAATGAGTCTTTGTAAGGGCTCCTCACAGAGATGGTGTAAGGAATAAAGAATGTACTGGTTAAGGAATAAATTTCACAGATTTTATTTTATCGGGTAACAAAAACAAATTTTACAATAAGTCTGATGTAAATCTTAAGAAAAATTGTCTAGCAGACTGAAATGGATTCTGAGAAGTTACAAAAAAAGCACTATGGAGGTCAAGAATTAGATTTACTACTATCTCATAATTCAGTTCAGGGTTTTTAAAAGTAAGGACTTTTAAGAGTGTTAAAATTAATGGCTTTTTTCGGTTTCATTTATCTGATTCAACTCTTTGGCACCAGGGACCAGTGTTCCTATGAGAATCTAATGCCTGATGATCTGAGGTGGAGCTGAGGTGGTGATGCTAGCGCTGCGGGGGTGGCTGCAAAAACAGATGATACGTCACTCGCTCATCCGCTGCGCACTTCCTGCTGTGCAGCCCGTTTCCTAATAGGCCATAGGCCGGTCTGTGGCCTGGGGGTTGGGGACCCCTGATCTGATTGACCTTGCAGTTGATTACTTAGGACAGCTTTAAAATCCAAGCCAACCTTACCAATGAATTCATATTAACTTGTATGTAAGAATCCAACCATTACCTCTCTGTTTCTTAATTACCTCTGTTTCTTCTTCATCAAAAAAGTTTTATTAATTACCTCTCTGTTTCTTCTTCATCAAAAAATAGTTTTGCATCTTTCTCACTGAGATCATAGGGTGTGACCCCTAGCACTGCATTTGTGTTTTCTTGCTGATCCCCCCGACTCTGAGCTCTACCTGTCTGCCTGAACCCACAGTACTCGGCCTCTGAATCCTACCTCCCTAAATCCATAGCATTCAGATGGTTTGCCCTGTATGAGGAAATATCTGGCTTCTTGGCTCTACATTTGTTTGGAAGACCCAAGGGTATTCCCAAATGAACTGAATCTCTAGCTTTAATATCCTTGCTGTGTGTAGCCTCTTGGATCAGCTTCATGTGTTGGCTTCTGTTGCTCTTCAAAATTAATTCTTCCCAAATAAGGCATGTGACCTGCCTGTCAGTAAAATGCAGGGGTGTTTTATAGTCAACATATGTATTCCTTGATAGTTTACCTGTTATGTCTGCTATAAAATTATTTTCGTTTTTAAAAGTTTTCATAAAATTAACTATTCACTGCCAAATAATACTCATTACTCACATTTTTAGATAAGGAAAAAAAACTAAGATTGCATTAGAATAGGATTTTGACATCAGAATTCTAAAATTCAACACATGGCACAGTGCCAACAGTTACCTTTAGGTAGACAAGTGCTCCATAGAATTTATTTAGAGACCTGTGAAAGGAAGCATGAGAATGATGAAATCATAACCTCATCTTCCATCCAGACCCTCGTAATTGTTAGAGAGAGGGGTCTAAAGATGTTGGAAATAGTTTTGGCTAAGTTTACTCTTCATCTTGTTTCATTTCCTATCTTAGTATGATAATCTTTTTATATGAGAGCATGCTGTTTTAATTTTTATAATTTTAAAAAGTGTACCATGTATAATTTTATAATTTGTGGTATCTGATGTTAAGTAACAATTTCCTTACGGATATAAAGACATTAAAATTAAACTAAAATATATGTGACCCCTAGCAGATATCTAATAAACATTTAATATTGAATGAATGAATGAATGAATATCCAGTTTACTTGATGTGGTGGTTTTAAAAGGTAAGTCGGAATTTTTAGAATTCTGTTATTAGAAGGAATCTTATCATTTTAGAACCTTCTTTATGTCTTCAAAGTGTTTACTTTTAACATTCAGTATTTTATATTTAATTTCTTATAGTTGAAAAGATGAAAGTCCTCATAAGAACAGTAAAATGATTTTTTTAGGTTAAATATAGACTATGCTTTTGGTTTTTTGCTCCTGTGGAGAAGAAACTGCTTTAATAAAGGCACATCTAAAGAAATGCTTAGAATTAGGATTCATTCAAGAATTCATACAAGAATTGAGAATGTAAAGAACCAAGTAAGTAATATGAATTAGAAGTAAAAATGTTCATTAGATTCATTTGACGATTACATACATTGAGAATCTATAAATTATTGTCTTCTTTTGTCCTCATTTTTAAGTCTCAGACAATGAAACTTCCATCACTTCATTCTCATGCAGTAATGTGTGTATGGCTATTCATTCATCTAACAAGTCACTTTGTTCAGATACACTTCCCTCAGATACTAGTCTCTTCAGTGTCAACAATATACATTTTATTAAGATAACATTGAGCATGTAAGAGAAGCTAAATCCAGAAGCTTTCCCACTAGTTAGAAGACCATGAAATGAAGTAGAACAAAAGGTTATAATTCAGTAAAATAAAATTAATATTTGTGAATATTATGCTAAATAAGTGTTTAGGTAGCTTGATTACTTTGCTAGAAGACAGTGTAAATAGAAGCTTAAACTGTTCCTATCCCAGAAAAGTTAAGTGTGGTCATATTCAAATACTTAAAAGTTGGCTCTGCTATTGGTCATTTGTGTGACCTTAACGAAGTTGTTTTCTCTTCAAGCCTCAGTTTTAAATTGTAAGTAAGAGGTTGAACTTGGTTGTCTTATCCCAAATTTTAATAAGCCTGCAATAGAGTTGGCCTTCAGTATATTCAGTTTGCAAATAATTCTGTACACTGACATAATACTCATAAAAGCAAAGGGAAAGGTTAAATCTTGTAGATTAACACCTTGACTGTATGAGACACAATCAGCAAAAAACCCCACAAACAGATAAAGAGAGGCACTCACTGTAAATGACTAATAATAAAAAATTTTTAAAGGTTTATCAGATAAAGCATTTAATTGAATTAATGGGACAATATGGAGCACTAAATGATTTAATTAGCTGAAGTTTAGACTTCTAAAACATTTCAATATGTTTTCTTAGAGTATGCTGAATATTAAACTTTATGAGTGAGGATCTTATTGAGTCATAAAAGTGTCATATGATAAAGTTATATAATAATAGCTATAGAAGTTTTAAGAATTGTGTTCAATGTGTTTTAAGCCATATAACCCAAAGTGTGTTTGATTAGTTTTTCTAAAATTGACTTATTTCTTCTTAAAGTGGAGTTCAAGAGACTAAGGTTAATTACGGATTCAATTTGAAGAATTTCAGTTTCCTTTAAGCAAAATTTCAGTTTAATTGAAACTCAACAAAATTATATTTATGATTTAACAACATACTTGAAAGACATACACTCTAAAGGATTCGAATTACAAACCTTGTAGTTATAATCTGTTGGTTGTAAGCAAGGCCATGTATTTGTAATCTCTACTACTGCCAGAAATTGGATCAGAAGGGACTGTGTTATCAAGAATTGCTCCTGGTTTTGATCATGGTCATGTTATATACATGTGGTATAGTTGGACAGTTACTCATGTAAATCTAATTTTGAATAGTGAAAATCTGAGGTGATAATTTGAGGTTTCAAATTCTGTAAATAAGAGAATATAACTTTCATCTAAAATAGTTATTAAAATACTACTTTAAAATGCCTTAAGATTTTTCCATTTGCGTTTTTAAGTGAGATAATTTTTTATTAAGGGCCTATTCTATGCCTCATAATTCACTATAATCTAAAAAAGAGGTCTCTGTTAACAACGAACTTTCAGCCTAGCTGGGAACGTTATACCAACACGCAAGAAACAGCTAGAGACTAGTGGAATGTAAAGTCTGTCTTGCTGACTTGAAGTGCAGTAGAAACATAAAGGAAATGTGGACTTAGACTCATCAGAGAAGACTTCTTAGAAGAGGTGGAAGATGAGCTGGGCTTAAAGAATGAATGAATTCAGTGAAATGAAGGAATTAAGACTTTCAAATGCAGAATACATGGACTAAGGCATGATCAGGTAGGAAGGAGTAAAGTAGATATAGTAGATTGAAAGCATTGTATTGAGGAATTGTAACCATGTTTGAAATTGTTTTCCTTTACATAGGGTGCCCTAATAGAAGAAAACGAGTATTCAGATTGCCAAGCCCTTCAAGAGCCAAGGTGTGATGATCTGAAGAAAAAAAATACAACTTGTAAGAAATATTGGAAGGAAATCTAGGCCTAAATTAGATAAGTTTACCCTAAACATTAGGGGATCTATGGCTTTTAACTCAGCAAATCAAGTGAAAACTCTTGAGAGGAAAGTTGCGTAGCATATTTCTAGTGTCAGGATATTTTTTTACCCTAGTAAGATTGACCTTACTTCTATGGGAATGATTGCCAGTTAATACCAAAGTACTATTAAGCCAAATAGAAATACTCTTTTCCAAACCTCTAATTTGCATCCAAGCCTTAGCTCAAATTATTTACTCCTAGAATGACCTTTTCTCTCATCTTCAACTGTTTAAATCTTAAGCTGTCTAACCCCTGCGTGAAATTGCCCTAGTTCATTTTTCTCTTCAGCCAGAAATCCCATTTCTCCTTTGTATTTCTACACCTAACATAGAACAATTAATACATCCTGCTTATGGGCAGGGGCTATCATTTTTTATTGTGTACTCTGCAAGCCTAACATAACAGGTACTTGATAAATGAGAGTTGATTGCTGAAAATCAGCAGTAAGCCTTTATGATAAATTAATATAGTCTGGAAAGGCTAAATACCAGCTAAATGTAATGTCTAGGCTCTTTCCTGGTAATTTAAGAATTTCCACCTTTTACTACTTATCAGGGTTCCTCTTATTCTCTGCTACGTATTTACATTCATGCCTCAAGTTTTAGCTACCTTGCAGTGTCCTTTAAAATTTTTTTAAAAGTTGAAACTATAGGTGAGGGAATGAATAGTTGGAAGGCCTATGAAATTTTAATATCCCTTTTTGAGGGCTGTTTAGATGATCTAAGTGATCATCTAAAGCTTTCCAACAAAGTATAGTTTGTTTTTTGTTGGCTTTATTTGTGTATTTGAGGAGATAGAAGATAGTAGTAGAATGAAAAGTCCTTGGATTAAAAAATACTATTCAAGAAACATTATTACCATAATCACAAAAACGTATTGTGTATCTGCTGTAGTTCTTTAAAGTGACTCTAAAGAAAATGATATGCTTCTCAATCCCTCTGCTTATTAGAGCTACTTTACTGAGTGGAATAGGTTTCCTTATAAACTTTCTTGGACAATTTTATAAGAGACTCAGTCACACCAAAAAGCTTTAAGAAATCGAAGAAGGCAAAATTGTGTATCAATTATGCAACATTTGTTTTCTGCCATGACATTTAACTCAATGTAATAGGGATTTATTTTTATGTACCCTAAGAGCTTTTATATAAAACCTATAGGACATGTCTGTTTTCCAGAATCTATATATAAACTATATATTTTTTAGTCTTGCTGCCATTGTGTTTGCTTTAGCTTTGAGGGTAGTTGACATGTTTGCTACACTTAACATTTAGTCAAAAGTCAGAAATTCAACCAGCAATTAAATAGTGGTTCCTAAGGTGAAGCAGTTTCTTCTCTATATTGATTTGCTTTATGACCTGTTTTCTAGGCATGTATTTTGACACCACCAGTACCCGCCACCCCACCCCTAAAAAAGATGAGAACTGACTATATCATGGGTACCTAGACCACATGGAGAAAGGACTGAGACCAGAAGCTGCAAGCAGACATTGTACGGCGCAGAGCACCTGACAACAGCCCAATCTACGTAAGGGCAATAAATGCCACATGAGATGATCCCCTCAACACAAAACTGTAAGTAACTTTGGGAAATTAGAGGGGGATTAGAAAATTGTCTCTGATGACTCAGTAAAAAAAAAAAAATCTTTAAGTTATTGGACCTTTGCCTGGAAAACCAATTAGAGGACTTTAGTCTTGATATAGCAAGAAATATGGAGGCGGCATAGCCTCTTGAAACAAAATAGTGGAAGTTGAGAAAGTAATAGAATTTTTGGAAATTAAATGTGGCAGAACTATATATAGGATCTAGAAATAAAGTCTAGTGGCAAGCAAACTGGGCATGTGACTACTGTAGTAATCTAGGAGTGAAGAAATGCTGAACAGAATAGTGACAATGAGAATGGAGATAAAAGAATAAATTTATTTCAAAAGAAAAAATTATAGAACATCATGATTTGTAATACTTAATTTAAGATGCTATGTAGGCATTCCATTTGAAATGCTTTGATTAAAGTTCACTTTATATACAGAACTGGAATTCTGTGTAAAAGGCTGAACAGGTATATTTGTGAGTATCCACATAAAGCTGATAAGGGTAAACAATCTAAATGAAACTCATTAATAAGGACAATAGGACCCTTTTAAAAAGAAATACATAAACACATGTTTATGTAAATAAATTTGATTAGGTATGTAATCTTAAACATTTCTAAAATGAATTAAAACTCTCCCTTTTTCTCTTAGAGTGTCATATCTCAAGCTTGGCCTGTAAGAAAATCCTTACATTTGTATGGTTGTGAGGGTTGTTGACTAAAATGTGTTAATATTCTTGAAACTTACATTTACTTCTATTAATAAAGCAAAGATCTTTCCCAGTATTAGATTGAGGGAATGAAATAGAGAATTTAAAGTCCAAATAATTCAGTCAGTTAAAACTTTGTAAAATTGACATGGCTTTAATTTCTCAAATGGAAGAGCAAGTAATTGAATTGTGGGAAATGTGCTGGTCTCCAGTTTCGAGAAACAGTACAGCACAAAGACCTGGCAGTCTGGCTGAAGAGCTGTAATAATAAACAGAAATGTGAAAACCAGGAAGACAAGTTTTCCAAGAGTGCAACTGTGGCATTTCAAAGGAGATATAACAAGAAATTCCGGAAGGTGGCCAAAAATAGGTTTAGATAACTGAGATTCCTTATTTGAATACTTACTTTTGATGGAGAAGCACAGTTAAGAGGAAATGAAGGTTCTACGAGGTCTGAAACAACTTCTCACCCTAGATCGGGTTTGCTTCTGAGGAAAAGTGTTAGCCAAAAAAAATCTAATAGGAATTCAGTACTGCTTAAATTGTAACCAGGAGTTTAAAAAGTAACTGAAGCAAAAAAAAATTTAATTAATTGAAAGCAAATATTTTGGTTTTCTAGGAGCTAACTCTTGTTTTGTAGGATTCCTATTTAGAAAGTCAAAGTATCTTGCATTGTTTACCTAGTTATTACTTGCCATAAAAAATAGCCACACATCTTTAGACAGAAATACCATATTATTCTACATCTTTATTTTTTAATATGTTCTATTTTAATGATATGTAAGGAAACCTAAAATGTTAATCTGCACTTCCAAATAGTCTTTTTAAAATCCAGTAATAAGTCTTCTGGATATACTAGAATCTTTCAGACCATTTCACCACAATCTTTGAACCATTTGATTAATCCAAGTTCAGTGAATGTACTACTTCAAGCCAGGTTATCCAGAACTAGGAACATTTTATTTTCTGTATTTCCATCCTAGTTACATCTGACTCACATGCCTGGCCTACTGACTTCTACTGTCTTTTCATGACTCCTATATTATGGAGGTAAGTCAAGATTTAATATTGATTATAGTCATGTAACAGTCATTCTGAACTTGTATTCCCTTAAAGTTCCTTTAATTACTAAGCACTCTTGTAGCATTGCATTTTTATTAACAAATTATGTATATTCCAATTTTTGCTGGGCTATTTTACTGATTAAATGTATAATTTTGTGTAACTTTCAACTAGTTTTTCTACATATATCTATATTTTCATCTCATTTTTTAATCACCAAAGTAAATGTCTAGTAGAAAAATACTATGATTTTTTTTCTGTTGTCTTTAATCAGCTTTCAGACTCTGAAGTATCCTTATCCATCTTTGAATCTATTGTAATTCTTGTTTTCTAAGTGCCTGTTCACTGAGACTATAGCATTTGAAATTTTTCAGTGCAGTTCAGTTCAGACTATTAGATGTCCAGCACTACAGGGGATTGTAAAGAACAGTATAAAGCACAGTCCCAGCCCTCATAAGAACTCATGGAACCTCAGATATTGAAGCCAGACTTTCTTGGGGACTTGAGAACCCAAAGAAATTCAAATTCTTACCAGAATATGAAATGATAGAGAGTAACATGAAATAGAAACACTTGGTATTTTGTATTTTACTCAACTGATAGAGTAAAAAGGCACTTTAAAACAATAATTTCTAGATTTGAGGTGTTGGTGCGAAATCTGAAGGTGCAGAATGCTGCCTACCTAAAAGCTCTATAGTTAGATGAATCCTAGGTACATTTTGGTTTTGGAACAAAGTCCTACTTACTTTTGCTGCAGGTTGTTGCTTTTTCATTGTGCCATGCTTAATATTCATTTCCCATTCACCATGTAAGGTGTTAGTTTTTATCCATTTAAAGACTTTTATGGTTAGATCTAATCATTTAGGTAAATATTAAGGTACTTTGTAAGCTTAATAATTAGTTATGAGGTGATGAGTTTTCTTGGTGAAATTTGTACATAACTTTTCATCTCTAGTAGGTCTAATAGAATGCCTAATAATTCTTGAGGTGTAGTTCTCTGGCAAATTCTCTGATGGATAATTATGTTTTTTAAAACACTAAGTTTGATGGCACATTGTTCTCTTCCATGGGTTCTTTGGCTCCAGGAAGGTAATAAAATTTCCTAAATTAAAAAAAATTTCCTCTTATTAGTGGTTTCTACATTGTTAAACTTGATGTAACAGAATCAACTTCTCCAGCAAAGAGGAAAAATAACAGAATACAGAATATTTACAGAGCTCTTAGCAAGTCTTTATTATCTCAGCAAGGTCTCTGGTGATATGAACATTTCTATTATTTATGATAGAGAACAATACAAAAACTTATAAAGCAAAGCTGAAGTTTGTCAGATGTAAACAGTATATAAGACAAATTAGAAACAACTATGATTCCCTAAACCATATATTTCTCAAACTGCTTTCCCTTGACTGTTTTATATTACTTAGGGCTCCCGATTTCAGATATATTTTGAAAGCAGCCTAAATTAATTCCGACTTTACCAATACCTAAGAACTCTTTCTAATTATGACTTGTATATTAAATCCAAGAGTATTCAACATTAGAGCTCCTTTTCAGAAAATCTTTGTAGGGAGAACTTTCAGTTGTTTAAAAAATAAATTATTGAGGTTTAAGAATAAGCTAAAATCTTCAGTGCCTTATCAGAAGTGAAACTGTGGGTGATGGAAAGAAGCTGAAACAAACATTAGAGAAGTGCAAGAATAGGGGAGGCCCAACTATTGATGGTACCATTTAGACTGACAGAACCTTACCGTGTCATTGTGATGATTCATGCTTGTGTATATGAGGTATATGTTATTTGATGAACAAAGTTTTCAGCATGGTTGGCCAAGATAAATTTCTGCCATTATTTTCTTACAATTGCAAATTAAATTGACAAATCAGTTCATTGAATTAAGTGGTGTCTATATGAAAATGTTAGTCTTTTTTTTCTAAAGCAGACCAGAGTTTTTAATTTGCCTGTGGTGCATCTAACATATGTTTTCTTCAAACTACATTTGCCTGCCTCCCTTTTTAAACAAGACTCAGTTTTTTGCATGTCTTCACATCCCAGTTACAATGTCCCACTTATTTTGGAGTGAACACCAGAGGATTACTGAGACAATCTTGACAGATGTGTCTCCAGATAAGATAATCTCTAAAATATTTACTAAAATAAGCAACCTAATCACTTTGAAAGTACACTTCCCCTATTATGAATATTTTTAATTGTGGCAATCTGTCTCCTTCTAAAAACCTCTGCATTGTGAAATCATGGCTTTTGAGACACTATTTAATAAAAGGCTTAAGTTATTTTAATTTAAAACCATTGTCAATGGTTATGAATTGTATTTGTAGTAAGCTCTAAGTGGGAAGGCATTGTTTTGTTCCCTTGCAATATCTCCAATGTCTAGAGTTGTATTTGGCACACAGCAGATGTCAATAAATATTTATTGAATGAATGAATGTTATATGTTTCCATATGTAGTATGTTTCTGTTAGCATATAAAAAAGAACATTTCTCATCTCAAAGTAGTTTTCTGAAAAAGTGAATGACTAAGAACACAATAAAGTAGTTTAAACATTTTCTGTCTTATTCCTTGCCAACCCATAGCTACAATTTTTTTGTTTCAGTATTTTTTAACCAGTTACCAGTTTTTAATGATCTCACCAGCAAAGTACTATACAAAATTAAAGTGTGACATATATAACTATGCCAACTATACCCAACTAGTTAAATCACATGCATGCCAAAAACTTACCAGCATAGAAATATTGTGCCCTAGAATATAATGCTAGCAAGGGAAACAAACTGAACACATCACCCCCAAAACTAGGATGACACACTAAAACAGCTAAGTTGGCTTTTCTACAGAAAGGAGAGGATGAGTGTCACCCAAAACAAAACTCTTATTCTTAGGGCTTTTTGTCTTATTTGGGTCGTTATTTTCGATTGCTAACCTTAACATTACTAATCTTAAAGTATTTTGCACTTTTACATTATACATAACCTTTTGAGGTAGTTAGGAATTTTTTTTTTTTTAATCTTCCCTACAACCTAATACACAAATCTTTAATTACTAGAAATTTCTGGAATGCATTTTATTAGGTGGGAGTTTCACAGGATGGGTGATAGAGTAAAATTTGTGTATGAGATAACATACTATGCCATAACTATGCCCCTTACCTTGACATACCTCATACATACACTATCTTTCAGGTATAGCTGTTCTTTATTTTAATAGATAATATATCTACATGGCCTAGTGAAAAGTAAATTTTCCTCCCACACCTAAACCCCACTCCCCCAGTTTCCTCTCCACAGGTGACCAGTATCTTTGCTGAAAATTCCATGCATATATAAGAAAATAAGTTTTTTTTTTAAACTGAAACTATAAAATGGAAATATCTTTTTCCACTTTATATATTATTCTGCACCTTGCTTTTTTCCACTTATAAATATTTGACAATCCTTATCAGTTTGTAAACTGCTGACTCATTCTTTTTAAGGGCTGTATAGTATTTCTTTGTATGAACCATAATTTACCCATTCCCTATTGATCAACTTTATTTCTGATCTTTTGCTATTACGATGATGTACATACTCACTTGAATGTGAGCTCCTTGAGAATAAAGATTTTTTTCTTACTCATTTTTTAATCTTGAAAACTTATTATAATATACATCAAATGTTCAAGATGTTTTTCAATGCATTAATTGTACTTTTTTAAATGGTGCTCAACTGCTTCCACTCAACGGTTTTCACCTTACTATGTACCTGGTACTCTTTGACTTAATGATTCCTCTTGTAGATGTTTATCCTAGTGTTTAAAATGGCACATATATAATAATTCCTACAAGAGGAACCACCAAGTCAAAGTGTATGGTTATTTTAAATGTTAATAGAAGTTATTTATTTTCACCAAACTTAGGTACTAATTAGTAATAAACATTATTCCTCTAATTGTTTGGCACAATGCTTTACACATAGTAATGCTAACTACTGAATGTATTGAGCTCACAATCGAAGTGAGAAAAATTTGTTTCTATGAAAGCAGATAAGTCTATGGAGAGGAAAGGGCTGATTAATGTACCTGGAAGAGAAGGAAAACAGTCTCACAGAAGAGGTGCAATTGAAAGTGGGTCACCCATCTTCTTCATCATCATCATCACTAATAGTTACTATGCCAGGAAATGTGTTGAGTACACGATCTCCTTTAATCCTCATATATTCTATAAAGGAGATATATTTATTATCCCCATTTGATAGATGAAGTTGAGGCACAAATAAGTTAAATGACTTGCCCAAGTCATATAGTTAGTAAGTGAGTAGGCTGGGATAAGAAATCAAGCAGTATGATTCCAGAGCCTATTCTTGAAAGTCATTTAAGTGTTCATGAAGAAGAGAAAGGAAGGAGGCATGGAAAGCAGAAGAAATATGTCCCAAAGCACCAAGTGTGCACAGTGTTGTTCAGAAAGGAGTAAGCAGTTAGTGTGGCTTAAGCATTGTTGCCCACAGATGGCATGGTAGGAGACAAGGCCAAAAAGTAGGCTGAGTACATATTTGACTAACGTTTGCCCTAAATATGGAACCTCCATACAAGAAAATGACAATTTCCTTTTACTCTAAAAGAGAACAAAAAACCTCATTTCTTTTTCTGAGATTGCTCTAGCATGATAGTTGCCTCTGGTTTCACTGCTTTGTTCATGGTGAGAGCTTCAGGCCTTTTTATCCTTTCAAAGCTATAGCATTCGGTTTTGTCTTCAGATATTGTTCTAGTGCTGACCAGATGAAAGCCTTCTGTTAATAAAGTGTCAATCAGTAAGCCGAGGACATTAGTTCCGTTGGCCAATTTTCGGTTATCAGGTTTTATAGATACATACCTAGGACACACAAAAAATGTTTAATTGTAAAGCATCTCTTTAATAATTAACAAAACTAAACACACAAATTTAATTTATAACTTCAAATAAAGGCATCGTACCATTTTTGATCAGATATTTTTTTGAGACTTCATTTATAAATCCAAATCAGTAATTTTAAGCTGATAATTTAATAAACAGAGACCTTGCTTTGATTTCCAAAGTCATTTTTATTCTACATTTAAGAATACAATCAACATTGATGAATTTTCATTGAGAAACTAGTTTCTGGAGCAAACAATTTGATCAAACAATTAAATTAGCTTGATTTTTATATAATTTAACTATTTTGAATTTTTCTGTTTTCAATTTACTAAACTGTTTCAATCGATTCAGTCATTCTAATGAACATTTTATACATTTACAGTTTTCCCCCTAGATCTAATTTTACCCATTAGTGGCACCGATATTACAAATTTCCTTTTGTAACTGTCCTTTCAAATATATGTTTTCAGGTGAAATTTTGCAGATATAAAATGTCAATAAGTCTTTATTGTCAATTTTTACTCAATAACTGTGTTGTTGAAGAGCAAAACATAGGGTTCAAGCCTCTGGAGGTGAAATGACAAAACTTTCTATTTCCTGGGAAACTCAATAGAACAATTCACATAATTCAAGAAAAATATATCCGAACTTTTCAGATTGGCTATTTGGCTTTAATAATGTCAACATAACATAGTCACATAGATATAACTATTTTACTCCTTCACCTACCATCGAGGATATTTTTATGTCTTTGTGTCCTCCTACAATTTGTCTATGAGAGATGCAGCTAATTTAAATTAGAAGAAGCAGCTAATTTAAATTAGTTCCAGGCAGCAACCTAAACTATCTGCAGTTTTATGGGGTAAAAAGAGCCTTGGGGACATCCCTAGCCTCCTTTTAATTATGATTGAAATAGAGTAGTTTATTGTAGCTCACATTTAGAAGCTCACTGTAGGCGAAAAAAGCTGTAATAACATGTAAGAATTACAGCTCTACAAAGTACCCACCAAAATATTTGTTTGATATAGCAAATTTTTAACCTTAGTAAATCATTCCATCTACCCCCAAGCCCCAGATCTTGATTGTATAAGCCTAGAAACATTTTTCAAAGAGAAAAAGTGTTATAGAACATCTCACAAAATTAAGATACAAATAGTACATAGTCGGTGATAACAAAGTGGAATGTACTTGCAGGAAGTCACTGAGCCAGAGTACTTAATTCCGCATGAGGCCAAATTAAGAAATGAAAGATTTCAAGGCACAAGAAAAGGATAGAAGAAACCAATGAGAAATAAGAAATCAAAACGCATTTTAAATCTTGAAAGGGAACTATTCTTTTCCACTTGAGTGAGTTTAAAAAGGAAAAGTGAGATAGACTAAAGGCTACCAAAGAGACTAAATCCTGTGACTATAACTTGAGCCTGATACTGTTACCCCAGCTGCAGGATACAAATCAAGTATTTCTAGCATTGTGAACAACCTGCTAGGTTAACAAGACCTTAGAGTAGTAAATCATATTAATGGAACATACCAAACAGTACAAATGATACACCAGACTCGTAGGAGCCATTCAGACTTACTCCTCCACCTTCTACCTTTAAAAGACATCTAAATGGACAGATTCAGTCTAGGGCATGAACGAGAAATCAAAATGACTGCTAGATAGGCAGTCATCTAAGGTGGATCTTTTAAGGCCAGAGGTGTCATCCGGTCACCTGAAATCCTAATGATGTCCCCTTCTTCAGGTTATCAATCTCTACTTTGAAATTAGCACTATATTAAAAAAAAAAAAAAATCAAACACTTCTGGGATGAAAAAATTCTGAACTTCAACAGAAAACAATACTGTTTGGGGCTAAAAAAATTAATTTTAAAAATAGCTTCTGGTTTTGGTTATCTATTTTAGAAGTTTAAATACAATACCATTCTCACAGTAAAACTTTTTGTAGTATTTATAAAACACAAACACTTTAATAACAAAGAAGAAACCACTTGGCACTGTGTACACACGAGAATATCCCAACTTGAGATTCTAATCTTGTTTTACAATTATTTTCTTCAAATGCGTATTTTCTAAAGAGCATTTTTAGTATTTCCAGGGTATCTTTTTTATCTTGCATGTTTCCTCTTAAAATCAGTAACACTATTTTTTCTTAGGTTTCTAACTTTTTAAAAAGGGACCCCCAAAGATCTTAACTACTCAAATTTTTAAAAAACAAAAACTGGTAATTTCCTGTTTTTGTTAATGCCCTACCAATGAAAAGGAAGTTGTGCATAGAGCTCTGAGGTAAAGATAGGTTCTTAGTTTTCTTCACAATCAGCCTATTAACTGGCTCTATTTTCCCAAAATGACATTTCAACGTCTTTGGAAGGGCAGAAAATTATAAGTATAGAAACTTAATAAATAGCATACTGCCCAGAGTTCTCCAATTGGTAAGCAAGAACAAGGGGTATGTTGTGGGAGTGGCAAATATTGGTTGGTCCTGAAGGCTACTGCTGAAGAAAATATCTCAAAATACCTTTACCCCCCCCCAAAAAAGTAATTTTATTTTAAATACTATAAGAACGTATGTAGACTTTTTTCTTCCTGAAAATTCAAACCAGCTTTCATAGATAGTAAAATAATGGTGGGACACCAATAAGATATTTTTAAGGGAAAAAATATATCTGACAGTAGAGTGGAAAACAGCCTTAAGGTCCAGCCAAGAACAATAGGAGAAAGTGAATAACTGACTCAAGAGCAACTATCCTTAACATACTGACAGCCTATCCTAATATTTTAAGTTGTCTAAAAGTACCAAAGTTATAAATTTGCCATAGAATATATCTGCCTTCATGGTGTTTAAAAATAAAATGGGATGGAGAAAAATCACTAGTCAAATCATGTAGCCTGAAAGAACAAATAGAGAGTAAAGAAATCAGGACAAATGACTGAGCCTTTACTATATGCCAGCCACTAAAAGAATCTCGGGGAAGGAGGGGCTAGGGACTTTCATTCCTAAACCAAATTCATTAGCAATGTTCCATAATCTATAAAACTATTTCCTCCCAGTTTTCCCTGCAGTCTTGGTTTATTCTTATTGTCCTACATAATAACAATACCCTCTTTCACTCTGAAAAGTATCCCAGTTTGGACAATAATTATCTGGTCATTCTACCCAACTCTGTTGGTTGCTTCAAAACATCGAGTCATCGCTTTTTCCAAGAAAAAGCTCAGACATGAGAAACTTAGTTTTGAGAGGTAACATCAGGAACTGGTAAAGAGAGATGCTTCTAAGTTCAAAATACCTGACTCCAGTTTGGTTATCAGTAGTGCTGTCAGAGCCACACTGGAAAACCAGGTCATGGTAAGAAGGTCTTTGTGGAGGCAGTGGAAGCAAGGTCTTCTGAGGAGGGGAAGAGTTACTAGTCCAGGTAGGTGCTGAAGGTTGCTCTATAAACACTGTAATCCTCCCAGTTAGCATCTCAATTGTTTTGCTGCAAGAGCCAAACACCTTGAAAAAAGCTTGAGTGTTTCGGCTTAGGAAATGTATTTCCACAAGAGCAGGTCTTGGTTGTAGCAAGTGTTCTTGGTTTAAGAGATGAACCAGAGGATCAAGTTCATAGAAAAGAGCCTCTCTCTGAAGCCTAAGATAGTCTGAAAAGTCAGTGGGTAATAAAAGTTGTTGAGTTCTCAAAAAATCTAAGATGAAACTAAATAAAACACCATCTCTGTCCACAAAAATCTGGCCACCATCCATCTTGAATTCTTGGTCTCTGCCATCTAACATTCTTGTCAACCGAGAAGCAGGAAACTGCTTTATGGTCGAAAACCTTGTTGTGAATATCTTCCCTCCTACATTCAAAGTGACCAGTTCCTGACTACTCATTCTTCTCTTGCTTCAAACTAGTGGCTACAAACCATCAGCTAGACTTAGGAACTTGAACAGTTTAACTATAACCACAAATGTCGCTAGTTATATATTATGAGTAAGTAGAAGGGGAAAAAAAACAGAGACCTAGATTCCCAGGTAACCACTAAAGCAAATAGTGTATCCATAGCTGTGTTTGCAAATTTGAGTTGCTGGGGAACTTGCAATATACAAAATGGAAAAAGCAACAGAAGAGGAACTGGATAGTTTAAGGAAAACTGTCAGTGTACCTAAGGATAGGTGTCAAATAGATCCCTTTCCTGTATTCCATAAAAAAATTCTCCATGAAAACCTACCGTAAATTTATATTTAAAAAAATACTGAGAACAGAAAAGACCTCTTATCTACTGTGAGTCTTCATGGCAGATTTACAGAGAAATATTGCCATGATTTCTTATGATCCCTTTAGTAATTTTAATCGTGTATTGCCAGGGATGAGAGCCATTACTTCAACTAGCAGCTTAATCTGACTCTTCTTCTCCTAACTAGAATAAGTCTTTCTTTTGTACCTAATCTAGTTGTCATCTTTTTTCTCCTATACCAGCAGCTTGTGTTGTCTCCTTTCAACCAAATTTAAGGACTCGAGTAAAGACACTCTGAGTTTTCAAAGAAATGTCTTGTTCCACGACAGAAATAAGGTAGACTAGAGAGCAGTTTAAGCTTGGGTCATTTTTATTTTCATCTGAATTCTAAGGTAGGTGAGAAAATTAAACATTTTTTATTCTTTGGGAGGTAGGGCATCTTTATGCCATGTAAGCAGACAGGTCAGCATTGTTTAGCGATTACTTTGCACTTTATAATAGCTGATACATTGTTTCATATATTGTCAAATTAGTCTTACTGCTCTTAAATTCTTTAAGTGGATTGGTTTGGTTGAACAGTTGCCATACTTTGAGATGATAACACAACACTTAGCTGCCAGTAAAAAGGAAGCTTTCCCATTTCCTTTTCTTATCATGTGTTAGATATTTTTTTTAACCTATGCCTTTGCTTACACACCCATCTAAGTTTTACAGTTTCATCAGATTCCTTTGGTGATAAATTTACAAGGCGTAAGGAGAAAAAGGGAAGCTGAAATCTCCACCCTCCTTAAAATGTACACTTATCACAAGAAAATGTCAGTTTTTATTTACATGAGATTTACATTTTAACAAAAATGGATAGCAACCCTCTGTAGAAAAATTTGGAAATCTAATCCATCTATATATTTTCCTTTTTCTAAAGAATGTTCAAAAACACTACCTCATCAATACAATCTTAGATCATGTGCTCTCTCATCTCTCCTTTTTACATAACATAAATGCAACCAGTATTGGGGGTAAGATGCTTATTCCAAAAGTACTCTTTAAAAGGGAAAGACCCAGGACTGTACTGTTAAATTTCACTTTTATCTTTATGCTACCTAATTTGAACATTTATAAGACATTATTTTTGAAAGGAATATTTTTGGAGGAAAATATCTGACTGGAATCTTTGACCAAATCTGAACTGCCACTCTGTTCTCTTAACAAATGTCTTAACAAAAGACAGATATTCTTGAAACAGATTTCATAATAGTTTATATTTGCACATAAATTCTGCCACATTATTCAGCACCACCAAAGTAAAATTCTTGAATCTTTCACTGAAAAAGAAAAACCCATCTGTCACCTGTTTCCAGTAAAAAACTGACTGTTCTATAAAATCAGGTGATTTAATCAGATAGGAACTGAAGTGTGAAAGATGGTCTTTCCAGGTTGAGAATCCATCAAGTAAGGACCATTCTAGGAATATAGTAGGACCAAAGAAAATGAGAAGGCCAAGCAGAATGACTACCACAAATAACTGATAAAAGCTCCAAGGAAACTTGCTAATGAATGTGCCAGTGTCTTGAGGCAAAGAAAGTTTATCGACATCCACTAGTTTTATGTCTTCCCACTGACTAGTATCAAAGTTCTTCATTAGAGGGCTTGTGGGCAAATTAGAGGGAGGTAAGGGAGTTTCCTTGATCACTTTTATTTTCTCCCTGAACTCCTGCATTTGTTGCAGAAATATGATAGGTTCTGACACGTCTTTGAAGGCCTCAGCAATGTTAAAGGCCATCCGTTGTTCCTGCAAGATGGTGTTGAGTTTGTTGATCTCTGGGTCATAGGCTTGCATAACTGCAAGTTTCATGGTCTCAAAATCAGACAGGATTTCATTCTTCTTTTGATCTAAGGTGTGTTGTAACTTCTCAAAAAACTCCTTCACTTTATCCGAATCTTTAGTCAGTAGTTGTAGAGATTTCCTTTTGCTAGTTTCCAAGGTATCCAAGCGAGAAAGAGCATCTCCCCGTCGCCAGGTCTCAAAGCTTTGGAAGAGGGACTCAAAGGCATCCCTTTCCTGAGCGTAGGCATCTTCAATAGAACAGAAGACATGCCTGGTGTGATCACCACGAGTAGCACAGATCCCACAAATCAATTGCATATCAGTCAGGCAGAAAATGTTGAGAGGCTGCCCCAAGTGTCCTTTGCACACTGGCATTTTGGGAGAGATCTTGATCTTGTTATACTTCTCCACAATACCCTTCAGAGAGTAATTAACCTGCAGGCTATTGACTCCAGAAGCTGAAGTTTCCTTTCGACACGTGGGGCACTTGAATGGAGATGATCTCCACAGTGAATTCCGCACATTTCCCTCTAAGATCCCTTCTAAGCATTTTTTGCAAAAGTTGTGTGAGCAAGGCAAAACTCGAGGATCATCAAACAGACTGCAACAAATTGGGCATGTAAGATCTTCTTCAAGCAGCTCCATCACATCCTACCATAGAGAAATAAACATTTTATTCCAGTAATCCCCTCCATTTGGACTACTATAATAATAAGAAAAAATTATGTTCATAGACATTAAAAATGATCTTTCACTAAAATAACAAGACAAAGGAAGTAAGAAATTTGGGAAGGGAATGCACACCAAAGCAGATTTAATCTGCTGGGACTAGAACACACTCCTTATTAGTAGGTCTCCCTGTACACAAGGCCTTTGTGTGGGCTTCCCAACAACAGTCTTTGGCTGAGACAGGGTTAGGACCAGGACAACTGCAAGTTGAGCCAGCAGGAGGACCCAATTGTTTTAAAACAGAAAGCTGACTACTAGCTGTCAGAAACAAAACTACTCAGTGTCTGAATAGAATGAACTCTTTAGTCTGGCCCACAATTATAAAATGGTATACTATTTAAAAGAACAGCACAGAAATATAAATCCGAGCAAGTATTCTCATGCAGACTTTTACTAAAAATTTGCATTTCTATTTCAAAGGCAAAATTACAATTATTAAAATCATAGGTAAAAATGAGAGTTGCAATTCATTCTTCCCTAGAAAATTAATTTTTTTTTTAACCACCAGAACAGTAATCAAAGCCATTTGTAGTGTGTAGAACATCAGTTCTCAAAACATGGTGAGCAGAAACCTGGGTGTCCCTAAGACTCTTTCAGGGCATCCTTGAGGTTAATACTATTTTCATAATAATACTGACATTATTTGCTTTTGACATCATGTTGACCTTTGACTGTAAAAGCAATGGTGAGCAAACACTGCTAGAGCCTTAGGAATCAAACAAGGCAATACATAGTACCAAACTATACTACTGGCCTATATTCTTCACCACCACACACCCACAGTGGGGGTGGGAGTAGTGGTTTAATTTAAGAATGTTCTTGATGAAGCAGTAAAAATTACTCATTTTATTAAATCTCAATCCTTGTGTGACAAAATGTGAAGTAAACACACAGCATTTCTGCTGCATACCAACAGATAGTGTCTGGAGGAAAAGCACTGTTGCAAACTCAAACAACTGCTTTTTTCATGGAACACCATTTTTACTTGAAAGAACAAAGACCAACTATGGCTATTCAGATTAAACTATATGGCAGACATTTTCTTGAAAATGAACAAAATAAGCCCAACACTTCAAGGGAAAAAAATGACAGTATTTCTTGCCAATGATAAAAGTTGAGTGTTTGAGTGAAAAAGAATTTTGGAAAACATATTTGCCACTTAAGAAGTTGATAGCTTCTCATTAATTAAGAGGTTTTTCTAAAGAGATAAGCGGTGATATTAATGAATGTGAGGTATTTTTTTTAGGAGGGAGATTACTAGACAATGAAATATATCAAGATTTAGAGATCTGCATAACAGTGAACTAAATGGTTCAAATCACCAATGTTATTATAAATTGTGAATGTGTAAAAGATCAAAAGACCAATGTGTTTAAATATGATTTCAGATTCCATACTACAGCTAACCTTTAAGAAACTACCACTTGTTGAGTTTAGTATAGTATCAAAGAAGATCACAATTATAAAAAAACTCAGAGGCAGATAAAGGACTCCAGGTATCTTCTATTAAATAGTAATTCATTAAAGAGATCTATAAATATGTAAAGCAATGCCGCTCTTCTCACAAATGTTTTGAAAAAGTTTTTCAAAAATTATTTAACAAGTAATAGGTTTATCACTATTTTAATCTTAAAATCTTTGTTTTATAATACGGTAAATATCTACTGTACTGTACATATGTAAATCAAAGCTCTTGGGATCCTCAGTCTTTAAAAGTGTAAAGGAGTCTGAGATCAAAATATTTGAGATCCCTGAACTAGAGAATACTACTTCTCAATTCAAATTTATTATTTTAAAATGTACATTTTAAAACTTCCATCCATAAAGTTTTAAAACCATAGTGATAAATATGTCCTCATTCAGTTTACTTAAGAGTGTGTGTGATATATATGTCACATTACTACTAAAGTAATAAATAAAATAGGATCTAATAATCTATAGGCCATTTTACAATAAATATAATTTTAACAGTAATTTTAAGAGCCACAATTGGAACTACAATCTAGAAGATAAATAGTATTTAAAGGATAAGATGAGCCCGCAGGGCTAATTAATTTATGGTTTTATATTAAGTTGTGAGAAATATATGTATAAAAATATGTGTAGAATTAAAGCAAAGATTATTCTGTCAAATTTAGTGTCATAATGACAAAATGTGTGATGAGCCGATTTTTCTGAAAAATCTTGTGTGACATAAGAAATCATATAGCCTTTGAAAAGCACTGGGAAGAGAATGGCTATGAAGACTGTTGTACTAAGTTATCAAGCCGTTGTAAAACAGACTCTCTAGAACACAGAAAACTTTCGATGGTCCTCCGTTCATAGTTCTAATTCCACACTTTATCACCTCCACTGGTATCATTGTTCATCTATTCTATGCTAAGGCTAGATTATGGTAAGCAGAAGAAAATTAGTAGGGGCAGCATTCAATAAAGTAAATCTAATCTACTCATCCTTGCAAATATCCAGAGAATCCTATCCAAGCATATTAATAAATAAGAAAAAAACAAAGGATACCAAGTGGTTGAGATGAGGAGAAAAAGGGAACTCAAGGCAAAGAGAAACTTTGAAGAAAACTGAGGAGACTGCAATAGGGGCAAAGAATTTTAAGGCAATCAAGTATGATCCAAAGGAAAAAGGAAAATGTCACATACAGGAAATT